CACTCTGAAAGAGAAGCTACTTGGGAAAACTGAAGATTCTATGCGAGAGAGATATCCAGAGCTCTTCGAGATATAGGTATGTTAAGTTTCGAGGACGAAACTTTTTATTAGGTGGAGAGTGTAATAGCCAAAAAAAAAAATACAAATAAATAAATAAATAAAATATTATAAAATTTTATGGTGGAGATTTTCTCCACCGCTTACTGGGTCGGTAAAATCTCACCGCCTCCCAACTGTATTTAAGGGAGGAAGAGAGGGTGAGAAATTCGGGTAAAAAAAAAGAAAAGAAGAAGAAGAAGAACAGGAAGGAGATAGTGAAGGAAAAAGAAAAAAAAATCTAAGGTAATTTAAATTGCTATTTTCTTTTATCTAATTAGTTTCTAATAGGATAGTGATTATGATGAACAAGTTTAATTTTTGAAATGCCTATTAAGATTGTATGGAAAGAGAGAATACTAACCCTAGTCTCGTCGGGGATCTGACCGCCGGCCACTTCTGTTCGCCGGTGATCCCTTTCCGCAATCTTGGGGCTTTGGCGAGACAGGGAGAGGAAGAAAGAGAGAGAGAGAGAGAGAGAGAGAGAGAGAGAGAGAGAGAGAGAGAGAGAGAGGGGGGAGGAAAATAGAGAGGAGGAAAAGAGAGGAAAAGAGGGAGAGGATTTTGGTTTTTGAAGATCAGGAACGGATAGAGTCAGGGGGTTTAGATAAGGGGAGAGGGAAAATTGTCATTACACCCTTGGTTTACAGAATAATTTCACATAAGCCCACCTAACTCATTTAATAAAGATATGACTAAGAAAAAAATTCCCTTAAGTCCCTGAGCCATGTGAGAATTTCTAACAGACCTTAATAAATGAGTTATGGTTGAAAAATGACTGGAAAAATGTTTATTAGACCCCTGTCTTTTGTTCAGTTGTAAACAAGTCCAATCTGAGGAACAAACAATAACTTTTAGACTTGATAAATTCCCTATAACCCCCTGTCTTATCGTAAATTATTAGGAAGTCCAGAAGCTAGAATATGAGTTATAAAATTTTGATAAATTGTTAAAGATAGCAATAAACTCATATGTACTGCAGAATTTAATTATTATTGATTATATCTAGACTCTAGATTATGAATTGATTTACCTATAATATATATTTGTCCTGAATTAATAATTAGTCCTATATCTTACATTATAGGTTCTGGTTGATATTCAGGAAAATAATAGTTTGAGAAAGTTATGACCACCAGAGGTGAGTTCATTTCTCACTAGTATTTTATAATATGAAATTGCATGAGTTTTATATTTGATTTATCTTGTGATTAAAAAAATAGTAAATAAATAATGTCTTTTCATATATGTAAAGATTTGACCTATTTCTGTTGTGGTCTATCCTATAATACGATGTTAGCCTCGTACAATATATGAAAAGCAAATTTGATTTTTATATAAAATGTGAAAAAGAAAAGAATTTGGTTCTCATGCAATTATCAAATAATCATAGACATTGTTTTATCTGAATGTTTTGATGAGGTATTTGGAACGTATTTTAACAATTTAACGGATTCAAAGATTTTTTGTAACTTAGTATCTGATAAAAGAAAAATAAACATCCGTAAACTGTTTTAACAGAAATGAGGAGCTTTATCTTGTCAATTTCATTTGAAATATCTGCAAATTCTGATATGCAAAGTAGTTCTCATTTGACATGTGATCTTGATGTTTTCAAACCCTCAAATAGTCCACTATGGATTAGTTCTGCCTGCCATATGGTGAATGCACATTTATTTGGCCCTTCTGTATTGGCCTTGACCCTTCTGTATTCACCCTTCTGAAATCTGTTCTGACCCCTCTGTATTTGGCCAGTAGCCTATGACAGTGTTAGGTGCATTCGATTCCCGGAAAATATCTGTTATCTGATGCGGTTTACGCATTCCCTTGCTACTGGGCTAAAATTCGTAGCCTTAGTGTGACATATGAGGTGATTATTGTGTTTCATGAATTACTAGCTGGAAATGTAGAGCTAAGTGTTATACAGGGCTAAGTGCTACACCATATGAACACGGTGAGAGCCACCTCTAGAGCCCGTAGAAGCTACCACTAAAGTCCACATCGCCTGACAGTAATAGATTTATGATTTTGAGATTTGAACGTGAAATCGAAGAACACGACTCATTAGATTTAAGATTTTGACAATTGACTGCGAAATTGAGAAAATAATAGTCATCTGGTTTTGTACCCAATTTAGTAATTTCTTTTCTTTATTAATGTTTACATTGATTCAAGATTCTGATAATTGGTTTTGTACCCAATTTAGTAATTTCTTTTCTTTATTAATGTTTACATTGATTCAAGATTCTGATAATTGACTGTGAAATTGAGAAAACAATAATTCTCTGATTTTGTACAAATTAGTAGTTATTTTCCTTCTTAATGTTTACCTTGATTCAACAAAAAAAAAGGTTTGATTCCAAGTAATTTCAGAGTTTATTCAGTTGCAATTGAGAAAAAAAAATATAATTGTTGCATTCTTTCTTAAAGACGACAATATTATGATATTTGAATCTTATTCTGCCATCTTTGAATTTCTCATGCAAAACTTGAAATTCATTATTTCTGAGTATTATTCTTATTACTATTTTGTTAGTTATCTAGGAACTCTAGTAGGGAATGTTCTCACTGAGCGCTAGCTCACCCATTGTTTTTAATTTTTTTCAGATCCGGCGTAGCTTCATACTAGCCGACTTTTGGTTTAAACTTTTGACTGAGAGGCGTTATATGGAAAGCCTCTTCATGTTGATGTTACCTTCAGCACAAATTTTTTTGTTTTAATGCTCTATAACGGCGAGCTTGTAGGCTGTAAGTACCGATCATATATATAGTTGCTCTGACTTCTATCATCAGCAGGTTTATGAATATTTTGAAATAAACTATGTGATATGAAGTGCCAGGCTTGACCCGTGCATAAGATTTGTCTTAGGCATTGGTCGCTGCTGTCGCGCACCCCGTATTTTATGATTTTCCGCTGTAGTTTCGGGGCGTGACAATGATTATACAAGCAGATTTTACTCATCTTTAAGCAAAAGAAGACAAGATATGTCACAATCAGAATTGAAACTTTGCACTCTGTACCTGTTAATTATAATTGGTTCTTGTTAAATATCACATGTATATGTTAATTATTACAGGTGCATATTAACTATACACTATTCTAGTTAAGTGTCATATGTAACTATTAATTGTAATCCATACATGTTAAAAGCAACTTATAATCTATACAAAATGAGGTCAATGGATAGTCATTCAATTGAGTTCTACTTTAATTTTGTTTCATTTGTATAGATATGAACAATTCTATGATTTTCATTTGGGATCATTGTAGGTGAGGTTCACTATCATCATATTCTTTTTCAATATTTCTGAGCGAACTTGATTGCTGTATGATTATTTCATGTAACTTCAAACTTTGTGGCTCATGATAAATCAAAGACATTAAACAATTCATATGTGTATGCAGAATGCGAGTTCCATGAAAGTATGACAAGTGCATGTTAAATGTATCATGTACGTGTTAATTATAACTGGTTCTTGTTAATTATCACAAGTATATGTTAATTATTACATGTACATGTTAACTATAAACTATTCTAGTTAAGTATCACATATAGCTGTTACCTGTAAGCCGTCCATGTTAAAAGTAACTTATAATTCATATATTGAATACTTTCTCATCACTTGCTAAATTAATAAGCAAATAGATATTAGAGCTAACATGAACATATATAAAAATATTGAACATTTACTGTATACAACTAACAGATACTGGCTAAAGTTAACAGGTACTGGATATATTTAACAGTTACTGGCTAAAGTTAATATGTACTAGATATAGTTAATATGTGATAGCTAAAGTTAAGAGGTACTGGTCATAATTAACAGATAATGGCTAAAGTTAACAGGTATAGAATATAGTTAACAGATACTGGTTAAATTTAAGATGTAATGGATACGACGACCTAAAACATAACAAAATGTGGTCAATGGACAATCATCTCAATTGAGTTCTGCTTCAATTTTGTTTGATTTGTATAGATATAAACAATTTCATGATTTTCTAAATGAGACTAATCTATTTTTTAACCATTGAATTCAATATGCGCCAAGTTCTCTGGTTGAAGCTCGACCTCTCTGTGGCTCTATCTCCCTTTACCTCCTCACAATGGACCTCTCTGTGGCTCGATGATCTCGATCTCTCCTACTTTTTGTCCTACTTCTTCAGTCCTTCTCCATATTCCTCTTTGTCTATCTTGCTGACCACTTCTCCTCCTCTCATCTAAGTCTTCTCAACGCTTGCCTAAGACGATGGGGTCGGAAGGTGCTCGGTGGTGGTGGAGGGGGAGGCGGGAGAGGGAGACCCGGGGGGTCAGAGGGGAAAAGGAGTAAAGGGAGAGAAGAGGAAGACTAGGCATTGAAGGGGGGAGAAAAAATAGGCACAAAAGAAGAAGAAGGGTATTGATGGAATTTTTTTTGTATTTTTTCTATTGGGAAGTGCAAATAGGGGCTGAATCATATAAAATCAATGTACTTAGGGCTAATACACATGAGTTTTGGATTAAGTGCTACACCGTGTTAGTGTAGTGAGAGTCACCTCTAGAGTACACATTGCCTAGTGGTGATATTGGGATGTGCTACTTGTTATCTCGCGACGAGGATGTCGCCCATATAAGGTGAGGTGATTGTGCTGTCCCAAGATTTAGTCCCGCATTGAATACTTAGAAGATAATTTGAGTGTTTATATAGTGATGTTTAAGGCTCAAGTGTAGCATCGGCTAGTCAATTTTGGCAGTAGTTTGAGCTAAACAACGCGCTGCATTGAGGGGGTTCACGGCTTACACCGCACTGATGGTCTCATGGGCCAGGAGTGTGACAACAACTGGCTTTATTTCTTTTCCTCTACTTTTGGTGCCTGTTGCATGTTCGTTTTTCACTACTGTTGACAATCTTTTCTAATACAGGTCCCGTTGCCCAAAATGAGTTTTGCCGCAACACCAGCTTATACTTGAAAGAAGCCAAAGAATTCATGGACTTTACTCGAAAGGTTAGAAGCTGGAAACTATTCTACACTAGCCTAACTTGTTACCATAAGATATATTATTTTTTAGGAATAGTTATATCCAGTTAGCCAGTGAGGAGCCTGCTGCTGCTGGATTGTAGTATAGGTGTTATTAGTGATTTTTCTTGCGTGTGGTCCGTTTGCTACTGGATTTGTTGTCTGTTTCCATGTATATCTGAGGATTTAATTTACTGATGAAGCTTTTCCTTTTAATGGCTTCAAGTTGCTTAGGAAGGAATCTCCTGAAGACTACCTACTTGATGATGGCTTAGAATTAAAACAATTCTAGAAGCAATATGTAGGAGAAAGATGGGGGTGGCATGATTCAAAAGAGTCTCAGTTGACTAAACAGTAGCTAGAGGTTCATACTAGAAAGGCAAGAGTGATGTTTGAAGTATTGTAGAAATAGCAAAATCAAAAGAGCTGCCTTATCTGCTTGCGTGCATTCGTTATGGCAAGCTAGAAATGCTCTAGTATTTGGAAATCATATTTAGAAATCAGCGACCTGATGTTGAAGTTTTAACGTCACAAAATTTTGTAAACTCGGAGTAATAGGTTATCGTGTGCTGTAGGGTTTGTGTTCAACCTGAGTTTTGTTGCCAAGGCAACTGGAGCTAGTATATAGCCAAATTTTTTGCGAGCTTTGGTTTCATTTGTTGGAGTCTACACTACACCTGTATAGATGTATAGGACCATAGGTATTTTGCTTTGAGCCTTTGTTCTGGAGTCTACTGAACATTCTTTAATTTGGTAATCAAAAGCTAATGTTCATACGAAAATTTACGGAAAAAATGGCGATGATAAATTTCCTCATTATCTCATAAAAGATTTTGTATTAAAAAAAAAGAAAAAGAAAAGAAAGAAAGGTGCTTTTGATACTAGCTGTTAGTAATATCCCCCCTCCTCCTTCATTAGCTAGACATGCTTCTCGTACATTCAGAGAGTTCTTAATATTGTATGTACAGCTTTGTATTCTATAGATGGCCGATGCTCTTCAGACTATTGTGTAACTCCTGGCTTAGGTTTGTTGTAATTGTTGCCGACCAGCAAATCAGCAAGAAAATACAAATATAAATATTTGTATACTATTTCAGAATTATATTTCTATTGTGATGGAGATTACAAAAAACGATCAGACTAAAATGTGTATTCTAGTCCCCCTTTTTTTCCCCCTAATACAAGTTCCTGGTTTAGGTCATATCATTTGAAATGAATTTGGTCACACAACAGGCGAATGTTTGGAAGAAACCAAAAGATTTGGTCCTCAATTAGATTTTTCTCGAAAGGTTAGTATTCTACATCTGTCAAACTTGTAAAACTGATATATATGTTACCCATAAACTATTTTACACAAGCCTAACCTGTTACCATTTGGACATATTATGTTTCATGAAGCTAGGAATATCCTGTAAGCAAGTGGGGAGGTCTGCTGAAGCTCACATACAAAACCAAAATCACTATCTTTATGACAAAAAACTAGTATTTAATGCGCAAGACAATTATCTGCAACAAAAGTGTCCCCAAATGGGCAACTGATGCTGATATTGATAACACTACCGCAGCGACAATATGCGAACAAAAACTGCTGACTGCATCACATATCTTTATCCACCCCAAGTGTACATTTCCATGTTCGATCATTATGGTGGTTGTGATCGCTGCTCCATTGGTAGAGAAGAGAAGAATCAAAAAGGGATTGTCGGAGATGGTGAGGGCCAACTCGAGGTTCTTTGAGATGTCTTTGATAAGAAAGGTTACTGCAAGCGAGGAAGCTGAGTAAACGAATATGAGCACGTTTGTTATTATGAAGTATCTGCAATTTTTCAGAAAGGAAAATTAGTAATCAGTATATTTCTTTTTCTTCTTGGACGTCATCAATGGATAAGCTCTCATTGAGTATATTTGGTAATTGTAATAGACATATACTGCAGGAGTCAATCTGGATTTTACAGTATATACTTATTAAAAGTAATTGTATACTTGTTAACTGTCTCAATCTAAATTCATTTACATTTATAAATCTTGTTGCTTCATTATAGCAAAAACCATGTACTTGTAACCGTAAATTTATTTGTGTGTGCGTGTTTATCCATGTCATTTCTATCTTGTTTTCTCACTCTGAGATCCTCTTTCTTCTTCTGCTTGAATCAAATATGTCTGAACTCACACCAAATACTATACATAGTTTCAATTGGATCAAACATCCAAGCCCAAAACTGCTATTCCGTTACTACTCAAATCAAATACATCCAAACTTACCATAGAATTATATATGATACCACATACTGCCCTAGTTGAGTAAAACGTATTCAAGTTATTAATATGGGACTAAATCTTAATAGAAGAAGATGATAACTTACACTAGGGGAGAGGAGTATCTCGTTCGGAATGTTTTCACGAAATTTGTAGTCTTCATGGAGGTAGGATCAGTGATGGATACTCTGGTAGTATACCTGTGCTCATAACAATTGTCGCAGTTAATGTTAATGCCATGGCAATTGCTCTGAGGATGCATCTTGTTAGTTCTATCTTTGAGCTTGATAGATTTGATGATAATGATGATGATCTCAAGTTGTGTCTATTGCTTGTGACACTTTGTGATTTTGTTATATCAAGAGCACTAGTGAGGGATTTTTTGTTGTGTCCTTTGAAGCGTAATTTGAGTTGAGGCCCCATATAAGAGAGAGATTTTTTGTTGTGTCATTTGAAGCGTAATTTGAGTTGAGGCCCCATATGAGAGAGAGAGAGAGAGAGTATTTTTTTTGCTGGCAAGGGAAACCTGGTCACCCCAGCTCAGTTTTAACTCCTTTGGAGTCTGCCAGCGGCCCTGGTTCGATTCCTCTTGGTCCCCTCTTTTTTTCTGCAAGGTACACATAGTACCAGTAGCTCATCTCACGACAGGTGGGTCCACAGCCAGGTGGGGATCACTAGACACGAACTGCTAGTGAGCCGATACTATATATATATAATATATATTATATACTATATTAGTATTTATATATATTATATTATATATATACTATATATATATATATAATATATGAGCATCATTGACATGGAGGGAGTTTCCTCATGGCTGTGATGCCTGACTAGATCTCAGTCCCACAAGATCTTGGTTTCCAATGGTATAATAAATTCTAAGGCATTTTGAAAAAAACTGGTTTAGCAATCAGCGTGGACCAGCTCATCAATGAGCTTGATTAACCCACCCCAATTTCTGAAATTAATCTCTCTCTCTCTACTTTCTCTTTTTTTTATCTCTCCCCAAATTCCCATCGCCATTGAAACCAGATCCTCCCCCACGTCTCGACGACGACGGCCACTTCTACCTCTTCCTCCTCCGCTCCCCGCCTCCCGGCTTGTCTGTCGACGACACCGTGAATTCCACCTGCCGCACGCCACCCTACCCACCCTCCTCATCCCGCGTTCTCGACCACGACGCCAATCCCACGCCTCTCGACCGACGAATGACCCACCCTCCTCCTCCGCCGCTCTCGATGACGACGCCAATAATTTCTCCGCCAAACCCACCCCCCCCCCCCTCTCGACTCGACGACGACGACCCACCCTCCTCCTCCCGCCTCCCGCCTCCCGCTGTCAAGACGACGACACCCTCCCTCCTCCCTATGTCGACGCCGACACCGATCTCCCCCGTCGAAGGCCCATCACTTCTTCCTCTCTCGCGACCGACGCCGATGCAGGTATTTTTGGTACAGTCTCAATTTTGGTATTTTTGGAGTGATTTCTGGTCTCAATGCGACATAATCTATTCAGATTTCAATTCCGTCTGGGTCTGTTCAGATTTCAATTCCATTGGTTGGCCCCTTTCTTGCGTTATTATGCTAATGCTTTACTGCTGTGAATTGGGGTGGACTTGAATTTTTATGCTAACTGCGTTATTATGCTAATGCTTTTCTGGGTTATTATGCTAATTGCGTTATTATGCTAATGCTTTCTTACGTTATTATGCTAATTGCGTTATTATGCTAATGCTTTTCTGGGTCAAGTGCAAAATCTCATTTTATTGGGTTGTTGCAGTCTGTAACACATTGATAATTGTTTCAGGGCTACGAGATGACAATGAATGTTGAAACAGATGATGTGCTATCCATTGGACTAAGTGAAAATGTTGTAAGGCATAATATTATGGATGATGGTGAATTGCATACAACTCTTGTAGGATCAAATGAGATGACTTTCATAGGAGAGGCGCCATACGAGGGAACAAATTTTGCTACATTGGAGGAGGCATACAACTATTACAATTCTTATGCAAAAAAATGGATTTTGGAATCCGCAAGAAATCTGCCGATAAGTCAAGAAAGACAAGAGAAATTATTTCTCAAGTTTTTGTTTGCAACAAGACAGGGAGAAAAAGGTTATCAGATAAGAGAGAGTGTGGGAAACTTGTCAATCGTCATCCAGATACTAGAGTGGATTGTCCCGCAAGAATGAAGATTAAGTTGACTTCCTCCAAGACATGGATTGTCACGAAGTTTGAGGCAGAGCACCCAACCCATCTATTATCGAGCCCTGATAAAGTGTTTAATCATTATTCCCACAGGCAAAGCCATCGCTCGAAGACTTGCAAGAGAATTATTGACAATTTGAGTGAAGAAGGAATGGCTCCTTCTACTATTGCTCGAGTGTATAATGTTGTGTCTAAGAGTATTGATGAAGAATATATTACTGCACAATAATGTATTGATCACATCAGAACTAGGAGGAAGAACAACATTGGCAATGAATGCATATCCATCATAAAGAATGTTCAAGATAGGAAGGAAATTGATCCAGAATTTTACTTTTCCATAGAGCTGGATTAGGCGGGGACTATGAGGAGCGTGTTTTGGGCTGATGGGAGATCAATATCTTCTTACTTAAGTTTTGGAGATGTAGTGGTGTTCGACGTCACATATAAAACCAATCATTTGAGCCTACCGTTTGCTCCATTCACAGGTGTAAATCATCATCGGCAGTCCATTCTCTTTGGTTATGCGTTACTTGCAGATGAGCAAGAGGATACCTTTATTTGGTTGTTCACCCAATGGCTAAAATGCATGCGGGTTGCACCAAAAGCAATTATCACCGATCAAGATGCACAAATAGGAGGAGCTGTCAAACAAGTTTTTCCTAATACCCGACACTGTTTTTGTTCTTGGCATATTGGCAGACATATTGCTAAGTAGTAACTTCCAATGAAAGCACAATATGAAGATGAGATTTCTACATATTTTGATAAGTGGTATCGAGCTAGCACTATTCACAAATGTGAGGAACGTTGGAAGATTTTGAAGGAGAATTTTAATATAGATGAGAGCGTAGATAGTTGGCTGACGAGGACTGATTATGTAGTGTTCGAAGGACTGATTATATAGTTGTATTTGTTACTGATATGAATATCTATGTAGTTGTATTTGTTACTGATTATGTAGTGTTCGAAGGACTGAGCAGTGCGACATTGATATAGTTGCTATTTATATATTGTTTGAAGGACTGATTATGTTGTAATTGTTACTGGTATTTGTTACTGATTATGTTGTTTGAAGGACTGCTTTTGTTCATTAACCTTTGTTGCTTTTTATATATTGGTCGAAGGACTGATTATTTCTTGCATTTCTTGCATCTGTTTGAATATCCGGGTGATTTTCCTCAGTGCATCCACAACTGCAGCTCTTCATTGATTTGTGAGCCCAATATATTCACAAGAAAAAAATGACTGGCTTTGGTAATGTCATGGTAGTTTACAAAATGACCCAAGTTATACAAGCTTATCCTCCCAATTATAAATGCTTCTCCTACTAAAAGCTCAATAACCACCAATAGCTCATTTGTGCTCAGTAGAATTAGTGGACACCATAAAACTCAATCATTGTTGAAACCCATATCAACAAATCTTCAGTTCACAATTATTTATGAACATGTGTGCAACTTTATTTATGTTTACACGAGTGTTTTGTTGTTACGTGTATTTAAAGAACCATGAAGAGTGAAAGAATTAAACATGCGAGTGATTGAAATGATCCAATAGTCCTGAGCCTCCTGGCATCAAATTCTTAAGAACTTGAGTAGTGAACATGGTATGTTCAAATTATGACCTATTATCCTCGTTATGCCTAGGCATCATTTTAGAGTTTTTATTACTCTATGGTCTCAACTTCTGCTATTTCATTGATAATTTGATACTGGGGCATTGGAAAACTGTGATACTGGACATAAATTTCAGTAAAAACAGTATGCTAATGCTCTTATAATCAGTAAAAACTGTGATACTGGGGCATTGGAAAACTGTGAAACCTGACCAGTATGTATAGGTCAATAAAAATAGAAAAGTCATGATGCATTCATCAATATAATCATCATTCATCAATATAATCAGTATGCTAATGCTCTTATAACAAGAATATAACCTTACTCCAGGAAAACATGCATTGAACTCTTGATAAATTTAGCTGCTACTTTCTGGTAGCTGTTGATTACCCAGCTGCACAATCGTACTCAAATGCAAATCACAACTCAGAATGAAATACGAGTTTTCATTTATAATAGAGTGCCAGACAAGTTTAAAGACACGAGCCATATATGCTCCAATACAACCCCACAAGGTACAAATTCAAGCATGAAATAGGAAAGCAACTATATAAAAAGCTAAGTAGATAAAACGTAGTCTTCAAGCACTAATCAGTCCTTCGATGAGAGGCTTCTCAGCTACCATGGATTTTGATGTTCTCCTTCTTCACAATGCCCGCCTGCACAACAAATGAAACCAAAGTTTCAGTGCCCAATGAACCAAAAGCAAGTAATCAGTCCATAGCTTACTATAGCTTACTGATAGTATGTTTTCTCAGGACCAACTCATCCAATTCAATTACAATACAAAAATGATGCGGAGAAAACATATGCACAGTACTGCTGGTAAGAAGAAAACTGATATCTTCATCAAAAATGTGGAAATCTATTTTCTAGTTCACAATTGGAAGATGAGTA